TAAAAGTAATTGAATGAATAACGGTAGCATTATATACATATACATTCAACTATTTGTGAGCGGGATGATAACTCTTTGCGTTATTAGTCTCCTCACAGTAGGTTAATGAACACACATATTCGTCATAACATATTTTAAATACTAAACAGTCTATTAGAATATTGCTTTTAACAAATTCCATTCAAGATATGCCCCTTTATTCTATTTTTTAGATTTACTACTTTTAATAAAATTTTATAATATAATTACAACATAATAAATATAAGTACAACAAAAAAATAGATGAATATAATCTATTATATCATAAATATATAAGTATGTAGATTGAATAGCAAATCCTAATATAAACTATCTTCATATATGCAAGAAACGGATATATTAAAGTTAAAGTTGAGTTTTATATTGTAAAAAAAAAATAATACTTAAGCAGAAAATTTGCTATTTTGCCATTTAAGGCGGCCAAGTGACTAAGCTCTCTCTCTCTCACACGCTCTCTACCGCATACATTGTTGTTGTTTCTCTTTGTGTATTGTTTGACTAATTGAAAAAATAATGTACTCAATGCCTTATAATTTTGTGTAAATTTAAATTTAGAAATTTACAATATAGGTTTTTAAATTTAAATTGTATCTTCATTTCGATGATGTTAAAATTTTCCCGATATTCGTTTATTATTCCATGTTAGGTACATTGAGTATGTATACATACTACTACTGCGGGTAAGGCGAATCAGGTATGACGGGTTTATTGTTTATTCTCTTGTTCCAATTTTTTTCTTTTATCTATAGTCATTTAATCTTCTTATACTTTTATACCAATAAACTTTTATTTTATTAAATCAGAAATGCCTTTTCTAGTTTATAATTTATTTATACCTTTCTGCAGCATTTATTTGTCCCTTTTTTCCTCATTTATTCTCTACCCACCTATATCTACATATCTGTGTAACGTTGCTCCGTTTACATTTGCTTTGTTTATTATTTTGGTTTGTTGTGCTATTTGAGGGTATAACGATTTTTTTACCTTGTTCGACAATACTATATAGGATAGGGAACCGATTTCAGATATCAGGAATACCAAAGGATTTGTTTTTCAACAATTCTTGGAAATAAATTGGGGTATATGTATATATATTTTTTCTAAATTATCGGTTCATATACCTCCCATGTTTTCTTAATTTATATAAGTAAGCGCGGGGCCATATGAGGTAACAAATAAAGCAAAACGAAAAAAAAAAACAGTGTTGCCCCCACCAAACACAACAAACCAAAAAGACAGAGAGAGAGGAGAATTTATGTGAGAGAGGCGCCTACTTTTGTTCTCTTGTTTTTTTTCCAATCATATAAAAATTATTTTCTTATTATATTAATTTTATAATATTTTATTATTGAAATTTTGAAATATTATTATTTTTATTTAGAAAATCATCCAATGCATTAATTTTTTAGTATGGTGGGTTCCAGTATTGTGTCTTAATGTGGTTATGTTCCTCTTGTTTTCTAGTTTTTTTCAATATTGATATTTATTACAAATTTCTTGAATAAATCAATAATTTGATTCGAGTCACAATTTTACTTAAGTGTGACCATTATCTGTGGATCATTTCCTATATATTTATGGTCTGAGTTATTTGAGCCACTAAATGTGACTTGCCTTTGGCTGAACATATCCGAACAGACAAACACACACACAAACGCCCCAACACACTGATGATGGGTGTATTCTATTAGTATCTGGTCGTTGCATCGCAAATCTTTCGTCAAAATATTTTGTTTTGTAGTTCGAATAATGGAAACTGTATTACTATTGATGGATTATTGAAGGGTACTTGAGGAAATTTAGAGGTGATTCTAGTCCATATATAACAAAGGGGAAACAGTATGATATACTGGACCCTCCGTCGGATAGTTTTAGTTTTAACGGAATCATTCCTTTCGCCAACCAAATGGATTTTGGATTTGCTCATTTTTACTCCAGTCAGTAGTATGCTGGAAACATTTCAGCCAGTTGTCGTCGTCTCATAGCATAAACCTCGTTTTGTGTATGTATAATATAAAACAAAATCGCTTATGTCGTCGTCATGCAGTATTGTCTGTTGGTATACATCTGGTTTCTCTGTAATGTGTTATATGCATAGATACATTCTTCCACTTGGTAAATTTTGTACAATTCCATAGCAATCATATCTGGGTAATTTATCCAAAAAATGCCTCATTTGAGGTTAGGCTCGATAACAAGAACCTTTCGAGTATCTTTTTGACTTTCTCTATGTTATGCAACAACCCACATGTAGCCAGTAGCTGTTGTCTCGTGCCCTCCATTGCCTTCTCAATGCCTCAAATTTGCACATACAAATTTTGTTCTGTTGTAGTCCATCTACTTTGTTTGGTGTTATATAGATGGCATCATTTTACTTGGCACAGACGTCCGTCCGCGCTCTTTGTATTGTTTGTTTGGTTATATTTAACAATTCTACTTCCAACTAAGGACTTAAATCTTTGCTTCCATGGTTTAGGATTTTCAAAGGTACCTCCCTGTCCAAAGTTAGTAGCTATAATTAAAATGAATAATTTGTAATGTTTTCCAACCAAAGAGAACAACGGGCCCAAATTTACCTATTTTGTATGCAAACCCCCCTCGACACCGCCCTAGGTCCATGCTTTTAGACTTGGTAACTTTCCATTTTTCCGAGAGTACAGCCTGAACCGATACGACGAACCTATAGCCGAACATGTTCCACACGAACACATCCATAAAAATCATGCAAGCACAATGTCTCACTTGTTTCTTTTATAGCTCGCTGTGTTCAGTTCTCCGCTTCACGTGGTGACGTACGGTTGCGTTATTTTGGTTAACATCATATTTGCAACAGAGTTTTTGTTTTTGCCCTGCAAGCCTCTGTGGCTTCTAATAAAGTTCTGCATACTATAAAATAAAACCTGAACTGAAAAATGTAAGTTAAATAAAAATATAGTTAATTGTATTATTATTTTTACCAAAATGTATGGTTTTGTTGTATGTCCGCTATTTGCTGCTTGCTATCTTTCCCATTCTCTCCCTTATAATGTTGCTTTGCTCTCGCTCTCTTGCTTTTATTGTTTTGTTATTAGTTGCTTGCTTGCCTGTGCCTGCCCCCGTATTGTGTTTATCTCTTTATATAGAAAACGTACCGTACGCCGTACATTGACATATCATTTATATAGAACATGACAGTTGTTTCGCCATTTTGTTTTAAAGAACAACATACCGTTTCTTTTTCTTATTGAAGTAAACATTTTAAGAAAAGCGTACTTGATAATATAATATAGCTGTGTGGCCATAGCTCTTCAAAGTAATTTAATTAGCTAAGTCTCAATTTTGGAATAGTAAGATATATAATATTATAAAAATTTTTGTAAATCTTCAAAATTTTTAATATTTTTTCTATTAGTTCTTTCTCAATTGCGTTATTTGTCAGCATTTCACTTATATATTTTTTACAAGTTTTCCTTTTTTGTTTTTCGCAATCATCATTTGTAATTTTTGTTTCCATGTATCATAGTGTTGCGCACTATACGAGTAACCGAATTAGTTGCCTTGCCTTAATTACATAGCTTGGTAATCTAATGAATGACTGACACGAGAAGTATAAAGTCTGGTTCAATTATCAGGGTTTTACTGTATTTGCTACAGCCTGCATGCAAATACAGCATTTTCTTATAAAATATAATAAATAAGTATATATGTATAAATAATTTATTCATTACTCCCTATTGTACTGATAATATCCGTGGCGTTTATAAACTTAATTTGTTCATTTTAACTTCATTATATAAAAAAATTATATATATAAAAAATTTTTTATTATTTATAATGTAAATAATAATAAATATATGGATTTTATCTTGCAAATATACAATTGTTTGGTTATTGTAATCGGTTTATTTGGTTGTGTGCATTTGTCGCTGACATAAACAGCTGTTTAGTTGTTTGGCATGTGTTCAGTGGGCGCATTTATTATGTAGGGTATGTTCAGTGGACATGTTTAACTTTGAGAGGGAAAACCGGTGTTTTTTTAAATTTTGTTATTGCCGAAGATAGAACTTAAGAAACATAATAATTTTATTTTGTATTTATTCATATATTTTTATTATTATTTATAATGTTTTATAATTATTTTAATAATACAAACCGAAAAATATGCCTTTTTTGTTTGGTTATTGTAATCGGTTCATTTGGTTGTGTGAGGTTCATTTGGTTGTGTGAGGTTCATTTGGTTGTGACAAACAGCAGGTTATTTGTTTGGCATGTGTTCAGTGGGCGCATTCATTGTGTAGGGTATGTTCAGTGGACGTGTTTAATTTTGAGAGGGAGCAAACCTGTGTTTTTTAAATTAGCATTCCTTATTTATTATTGCCGAAGAATATAAATACGATTTTATTTGCAGATTATTATTAAGTTTATAGTTTCAAAATATAATAAAACAATATCCAGATTCCTTTTTATCCTCAATTTTATCTTATTGTACATTTGCTTGTACAATTTTACCAGTTCTTGTGTACCCAGACAGACGCTATATTAATGGACACTATATTATATATTTGTATATTATATATTTGGCCTACTATAACAGCAACATATTAATGGGTTAAACTTTAAACAGTATTTCAGATCTTAGTATATTTATAAACATAGTCCCCATTAGTTCTTAGCAGGGACGTACGCACAGTAAATTTATGTTAGCAACAGCGAATTTTTTCATTTTATACTCCCGGGCCCCCCCCGAAATGAAATCCTGTGAACGTTGCTGGTTCTTAGTATATTTTTCGGTAACATGAGCTAATGTTAATTGGTATGGCGTGTGTTCAGTGCGAATAGGTTATGTTTGTTTTATTTAAATATTATTTTCGATTCATTAAAAATATTAAATTGTGTAATTTTTTCTTTTAAGCAACATTTAAAAATTCAAATGAACGGAAATTAAAAATTCCCAACAACAACAACAAAATCACAAACACAAAATGATGGAAGTTAAACAAAGTGCTCCGGTTGATTTAAATGATCTGTTGGCAACGGTCAAAAGTACTGACGATGTCACCGATAGAGGAGTCAATGATGTGGTCATGACAGATTTAACCGATGAAGTTAGACCCGCCGATTTGAATTGTGATGACATAATGAAAACAGATAATATTGGTGGTAAGATAAATTAATCAAAAATAAGTTATTAAGGAATTTTTAAATATTTTTTTTTTTTGTTTTATAGAAACCCCCAACAATGGCTTAGTTAAAAACGGTGATGAACCACTTTCATCCATAATTGATTTGGATTCTACAGCCGGTGCCATCAACACCACACCAGTCAGTGCAGAACTTGAAGATGCCTTATTGGCCGAAGATGATGCTCTCCTACCCAAATTGACAGATGTTAAAGTAAATAGCATTGCAGCATCTGAATCGGTGGCTGTGGATGATCTCTTAGCTGATAAAGCGGAGACATCCAATTCAACAACAAGTTCAAATAATGTTCGTGATCCGGGTGATGATTTAGATACACTATTGTCAAAAATCAATGACATCGTTGAGGATTGTTTAGACGAGGAAAATCTGGCAGCAGCAGAAGAGAAAGCTAAAAATGAAGCACAAGTTGGTGGTGGCGATAAAGAACCTCAAGTCGAATCTATGGATGAAAGTGTAATTTTATTAGATGATACAGCAACAGATGAAAGTTGCCTGGATGTTGATAAAACACTGCCCAGAGAATTGGAAAATGTGGAAACAGCAAAACCTACAGCAGAAGATAACGATTGTGAAGCTGCAGAAAATAAGGAGACCAATGAAGATATTGCTGAGGATGAAAATAAAAAAGAAGATGACGGTGTAGTTCCCACTGATGACAAAGATAGTAGTAAAGAAGAAACTAACAATAAGGAGAAAGAGGTTGAAAACCCTGACTCTGAAGGCATTATCTCAGAAGATGTGTTACCACCAACGAATGCATCTGATGAAACACCTGCAATTACAACTGCCACAGAAGAAACTAGCTCGGAGGAGAAAATCTCAGCGGACAAACAGCAAAATGAGGATGATAAAATATTAGATGAAGAAAATACTAACGATTTGGAAAAAATGTTAGTAGATGAAGATGAAACAGTAGATTCTACGAAAGAAAATGAATTGCTTGACGCTAAAAACGACGAAGATACAGTTTTAACAGATGGCGATAAGACTGAAGATTTACTTTTATCTGAAGATGAAAAGGATATGAATACTCAAAATTCAAAAGAAGAAAATGTTGTCGAAAGTGAAACAAAGAACTTAAATGAAGTAGAAGAGCACAAGAAGTCGGAAGAGACAGAACAACCTAAAGAAGAGGAAAATAACTCAAAACCTCAACAATCTGATGATACTAAGGAAACTGAAAATGAATTAGAGGAAGAAAAAACAGAACTATCACAAAAATCGGAAGCAAAAGAAAGCCCCAAAGATATGGATGGACCGCCAGAAATTGAAGATTCAGATGATGAAATAGTCTTTTATGTTGATAAACCACCGGAAAAAGTTAAGGAGACAGCATCAGAGGCTAAAGAAGCTGATGCCAAACTTTCCACAACAACAGCTACTGAAGAAAAGTCATACACAGAAAACAAAGTAGCAGAAAAGGTTACAGAAGATAATGATATTGTCATCTTGGACGATGATGATGATATGCAGGCTGACAAAAAAGAAACGGATTCGAGTCCAAAGAAGTCAGTCTGTGAAGAAAAAAGCGTGGATACAAATAAAAATAACGATGTGTCGTCTTCAAAAACAACTGAGGAAAGTGAAGAAACCAAAAAGGATACCGAAAGAAAACATTCCACCATCGATATGGACAACTCAGATAATGCTCGTGATGATTTTGTTGTTGGCACAGACAAGACGTTTAAAAAACCTGAAGACACTGAGGATAACAGCAATTGCAGCAGCAGTAGCAATCTGTTACTTGAAGCCAAACAAAGTGAAAATACCGGCGATGAGCCTACACCTGAAGAAAACGATAACGAAGAAGATGATGACGATGGTGATGTAGAACTCATTGAAACCGAATCAAAAGAAGCTGGAGAAAATTCTTCGGAAAAAGGTGATGAATCTTCAGAGGCTGTACCACCCGCCAAAAGACCAAGACTTAGTGAAGACAGTGAATTGTCTTGCAAGACCGATGACAATAGCAAAAGTAGAAGAGCGTCCGAATGTTTGGAAAAGAAACCGGAGAGCGAAAGTAATGCCTCGAATATTTTATCAACATCGCTGAAACGACCACATGATGTCATTGAACTAGAGATGGATAATGACAAATCCAATGATTCCAAGTCATCCGTAACCGAAACATCTACGAAGAAACCAAGAACAGAGGGAATTGAGGACAAAACGAATATCGAGAAGGGTGAAGAGGTGTTAAAGAAAACAGATGAACCACCGGTGATAAAGACAGATGAATCAACAGATGTTGATCAAAAACAGGAGGTCAAGAAAGATATTTTAAAAGTTGAACCCTCAGACGAACCGATACGTTTGTATCCTGCGCCCAAGCTAAAACATCTGGGTTCGGACGACAATGTTAGTTTGGGTTTTTTGAAAAAATTCCGCAAATCATTTGACAAAATGACAAAACAAGATCTCGAAGAATTGGTACTACAAAAGGTGGTCGAAGCCATAATACATCGCAGTGAATTTGCCGAAATGCGTGAGCTAATTGAGAAACAAGAAAAACTAATTACCTCACATCGTGCTAAAATATCGGAGCTATCAAAACAATTTCGTGACCTTGAAATGGTACACAATCGCGTGGTGAAAGATATTGAACAGCGTAATGCTCAATTTATTATGCCAGTGAAAATTACCCGAGCTGTTGGTCTTCAAGTATATATACCGAATAAAAAAACCCTCATGGAAGCGAATGCTACCGCAGCTGCTGCTTCTGGTGCTGGAACAAGTAATATACCGGCCGTTTCACCACAACGTGCAGCCACCAATCCATCACACAGCAATTTAACATCACCGCAAAGATCGCAATTCAATTCACCCCAATCCGCTGCCGCATCTGAGGCTCTGCGCACTACACCCAATACCAGTGTAAATTCGGCAAATACTACGGCACCGCCCAGACGTGGTTGTGCACAGAAAGTAACACCGATACGACCGGTACCCGGTGCTAGCAATCCTTCGCCAGTTAGTAGTGTTCCACAAACTAGTAATTCATCAACCCAGGTTTATCGCAACAATTTGAATCAGAACCAAGTTGCACAGCCGAGAATATTGAATAAAAATGCCGCCGCATCGCCAATGGGCGGGTCTACTATACAAGCAGCAAATATGAATTCATCTGCAATGCAGAGGCAACGGTATTTGCAACAAGCAAAAGCGGCCAATCAGGATGTAGCACAACGTTTGACGTCACAGCAACAGCAACAAAGTGCTAGACCGCCAGTTGGAAATATGCATAATAAGTGAGTAGAATTATTATTTCTTTGAAGGAGAGTAGACTTGTAAAACGAACGTAGACTATAGATGCAGATTTTTCCAAAAATATTCTTTAATAATCCACGCCTATTGGCCTGCAGATTTTTCCAAAAATATTCTTTAACAATCCACGCCTATTGGCCTGCAGATTTTTCCAAAAATATTCTTTAATAATCCGCGCCTATTGGCCTGCAGATTTTTCCAAAAATATTCTTTAACAATCCACGCCTATTGGCCTGCAGATTTTTCCGAAATTTTTCTTTAAAAAATCAACGCCTATTGGCCTGCAGATTTTTCCGAAAATACTCTTTAAAAAGCCACACCTTTGGAGCTGCATTTTTTCGAAAATATTCTTTAAAAATCCACGCCTTTTGGCCTGCAGATTTTCTAGAAATTTTTCTTTAAAAATCCACGCCTTTTGGCCTGCAGATTTTCTAGAAAATTTTCTTTAAAAATCCACGCCTTTGGTCTACGGCTTTTGGCCTACAGTTTCGTCCTTCAGCATTTAAAAAGAAACCTATCGTTTATAGGTTGCCTATGGACCACCTCCACAAGGTGGTCTGTTCTGTTCTACAGATACTCGATGATCCAAGAGCCTCCACAGGTCTTCAATGAATGGACAACTTTCCACACGACGTCAATGGGCGGAACACCTCAGGTCGTACAGAATGACTTTATGTGTTACCACATAAAGTAATTCAATTCAATCCAGGATATTGAATTGAATGCCTTCTATAGCTCGTCTATTGGCAGAAGGTATTTTACAAAGGTTCAGTGGACAGAATACCTTTATATGATCCCTTCAGGTCTTCTATGGACAGATATTTCGTGGGGTTAGACCCCCAGATCTGCCTAACTAAAGATTGAAGGATTCAAAAAGAAAACGAAAGTGGTCAGATCGTCATTAAAATAAGTTCAATGAACAGACAACCATTCTGTGTATCTTGGCGCTAAGAGGTCTTTATACATCTCATCTATAGACGGAATTCATTTCTAAAGCTTATATAGGTACAGGACCTTTTAGGCCTTCTTTGGATAGTTTTCCTGTCTTTTATAGCAGGAAAACATTAAGGAAATTTTACTGCTCTAATGTGCTCTAGAACACGTCCTTTTTATGTTTTTCTATCTCGATTTTTTATAAGCCCCAATATTTATCGAACTCTTTTTTATATATTTTCAGTCAACGTGTGGTACAACAGCCACAGAAGGTTCCCAACAATTCATCATCATCCATACAACGTCGTCCTGATCCCTCGCCATCGGCAGTCACGAACAATGCCACTTCTTTGGATAATTATATGAATACGTTGACTCAGCTAACCGGTGGTAATACCGCTGTTAGCATTACACCGGCAAAACCGAAAGAGAAGGCTGTCATCGATTTAACCGATGAAGATGAAATACCATCTGCACCACAGCAACAGATGATTAGTCCACAGCAAACAAATCCTGCACAAAGGCGTAGCTTACCTGCACAAACGAATAACACTAATGTGTCACAACAACAGCAATATGGTGGTCGGACAGCACCACCCTTGGCACGTATACCACCATCACAGGTGGCGAATAGCAATAAGCAGCAGCGTATGCAAGGTAGGTTATTTTTCATATCCTCCTCCTGAATTTACGAGATTTTAATATTTACATTTTTCGTTCATGATTTTGCAGGACAAAAGAACAACTCATTCACATCCACAATTAATACTCCTCCGGGTACAAGTATTACACGCATTAATGTTGGACCAAATACTCAGGTTGCCCAACGTGTTAAATACAGTCATCCGGCTCCGCTGCCTGCTACACCGCCGCAAGCATTTAATCCCAATTGGAAATTACCGCCTCCACGACCAACTATACGTATAAGCAACTTGGATAATGGTATTGTTATCTCTTGGACAATGGAAGAGGCTATGGATCGTCACGCCGAATGTGTTAGTTATCAAATTTATGCCTATCAAGAAACCTCCGGGCCACCAATGGCCGATTCATGGCGTCATGTGGGCGATGTAAAGGCTATGTTATTACCCATGGCTGTAACACTAACCCAATTCCAGGAGGGACAGCGGTATTTCTTTGCCGTTAGAGCCGTGGATTGTCATCAACGTTATGGTCCCTTCAGTTTACCCAAGACATGGAGTTAAATTGTAAAAAAAATCTAACTCCTAACAGACACTCTCACTTCCTTCCCCTTCTTCTACCGCACGCTTTGAGAGTGCCTAAAACAATCAGAACATGAAAATAATTTGATTATTGAATTTTACATACATATATAATTTGTTTATCCATTACCACTGGATATATGTAATTAGATATTTATTTTATTTTCTCTTAGGTTTAAATATTCCCAATATATTTTAAGACTCTCCTTCCTTGTAGAGTAAACTTTGCCCCCACATATAGATAGTTGCGCACATATTCACTAATTTAAAAACATAAAAGAAAGAAAAAACACTTGCAAATGAACTAATGTAATTTATTTGTCTCTAAATCGCTTTGTTTTATTATCATTATTATTTATTTACATAAAAAAACTAAAGTTAAACAAACTTGTAACACATTGTAAACATTTGCTTACCATAATCACTCACTACTTTACACTTTTGTGTACGTGTGTGTGTTTAATTTATTATTTATACACACACATCAGCATTGAGGTCTTCTTTTATGTTTTATCATTTATCCGATTATTTCTTTTTATTATAATTTTATTGTAGTTTTTTATGTTTACATACATATTTGCATTTTTTTAATTAAAAACCAAGAAAATTTATAACTCACATTAAACTATATATATATATATATATATATATAGAGAGAAATTGTATTGTTTAAAAATTAAACAACAAGAAATAAGCATCGCAAAAATTATTATTTAGACATATAGTTTTACATGACTATATACATATTTTAATTTATATTACATGAATAAACATAATTATATTAATAATAAAACTAATAGAATATAAAATACAAATAAACTGAAATCAATCTGCTATATATACATAGAAAGAGAGATATTAAAAATAAAAATTCTTAATACAATATTAAAATGGGTATTTTGTATATTTTGTGATTTAAAAATAAATTGTCTTTCAGAATGTATGTAAACCCATTGAGTGAATGGTTCTGTCTCCAAGTTAAGAAATGCAGCTACGGCCGTCCACTGGCTGCAACCATAGATCTTCAGGAGTAATCTGCTGACCTCCAACGTAACTTCTCTGACCCTGGGATCTGCTGGGATAGACGGAGCTCATTACGCTAATTTGCTAGGCCAGCTGCTTCTGTTGGGAAATTAGGTCTCATCTCGGGTATTCGACCAGCAGGTATAAATCTCCTCTAGCACCAGACGGTTTACAGCTATTAATCGGCGGTATGTGCACTTTAAACACCTCTACCTCGGCAGTACACACACATTTGACTGCTACCCCTATACATTCCATGTATGGGTCATTAGAGTCAAGCTCAAACGAGACAGGCCTGTATTGAACAGAATGATACATAAGGAATGCTAGGCTCCACATCCACTTCGGGTGCGATCCTTCCTCAGAACGTTGTAACCATCATAACGCTGTAGGCTACAATTTTCACTGAGCTTGGTTTCCTGCACCGTCGCGAACAAAATATACTTCCGATTAATGAAGTCAACTATCTTGTCTATTTTTCCTCGAAGACCGTTGCAATTGAATTGCAGAAACGATGCACTATCAGCGGTGGGAACAGCAACGTGCAGTGTGAAATGCTGCATATTTCGTTGGTGTACTCGGACGAAGTAGATGACGTCGTGGACGAAGACTCACTGGAGATTGCAGCAGCACGAGGCAACGTAATCCCTTTCGCTGTAGTCTCGCAACCGGGCCAACCCAGTATATAAACTGGGGGCTGATGCTGAGAGTCGTTACCGTTCCGATCGAAATTTCGTACTTTTGGTATTCTGCCAGACGATATCGCTTAAAGTGTATCGGAATTTCGTATGCTATGAGGCGATAACGCTTAGCTGTCACACGTAAGCCTTCTCTATTTTGCCCGATAGCATATGAGTTATCGCAAACAATTTGGCTCCAAAAAAGTATACATAAAAAGGGGATTTCAAACTCAATATATTGCCACCACTATCGCAGACACAAAATATGCAATGTAAGTGAACTTTTGAAGTATTCTACAAATTGCATTTTGACTTACACCAATAATAAAATTATTTCCAACATTGCCTTGGAAGCCCCCAGATGCAACTTGTTGAAATTGCTCCGTTGAATTTAATTTCTTCAAGAACATATCTGAAGGCTTCTTTTGAAGTCTGAAACTTTTTACAAATTTATAAATTGCAAAAATTATACATTTTATCAATTTATATTCAAGGGATCACTTTTCATACGTATTTGTTTTCTTACATCCGTTAAACTACACTCTTCATCCGAAGAAGATGAGAAACAAAATATAATCGGATCCATCAAATTTTAGATTTTATTTACTTTCAAAAATTGTTAATTCTTTGTAATATACACCAAACATATGGTTTATATACGCTTTTATACAGTGTTGGTTTAAGGTATTTTGCTTTCACTTTACAACACTATAACAAAAAAAAAATACGATTCGGTACGTGTCGACTCACAGAATAAGAAAATTGCGAACGATCGGAATTAATTGCGATGCGCAATTATTTCGCTATCGACTCTCAGCATCAGCCCCCTGAAACCTAAAGTGACTGCAAAGGATGAACATAATGAGGAGACCCAATGCTGTCAGTCAAGGCACATAGGAAGAAAGTGACATGACAGTTCCTGTTGGCATGCTATGAGCGGTGTAGTCCCGACCATCAGACAGTGCATCTATTAGAACTTCATCAAGACATCCACTTTTTACGTCCAAAAATCCTCGATAGCAAATTCCGTGCAGCATAAGACCTATTTTCTAAAAAAGGCGTTCAAATATCCTGATGTATGCCGACGATGTGAAAATATTCCTCAGTTTTTCAGACATTTCAATTAATGAATTGTTACAACATGCTCTTTTATGAAGAAGAAGACTTTCAGCTCTTCTATGAAGAAGATCTTCAGCTCTTCTATAAAGAAGAAGACCTTCAGCTCTTCTATGCAAAAGAAGAAGACCTTCAGCTCTTCTATAAAGAAGAAGATCTTCAGCTCTTCTATGAAGAAGAAGATCTCCAGCTCTTCTATGAAGAAGAAGAAGTCCTTCAGCTCTTGTATGAAAAAGAAGAAGACCTTCAGCTCTTCTATGAAGAAGAAGACCTTCAGCTCTTCTATGAAGAAGAAGAAGACCTTCAGCTCTTCTATGAAGAAGAAGACCTTCAGCTCTTCTATGAAGAAGAAGACCTTCAGCTCTTCTATGAAGAAGAATACCTTCAGCTCTTCTATGAAGAAGAAGACCATCAGCTCTTCTATGAAGAAGAAGACCTTTATCTCTTCTATGAAGAAGAAGACCTTCAGCTCTTCTATGAAGAAGAAGAAGACCTTCAGCTCTTCTATGAAGAAGAAGAAGACCTTCAGCTCTTCTATGAAGAAGAAGACCTTCAGCTCTTCTATGAAGAAGAAGAAGAAGGCCTTCAGCTCTTCTATGAAGAAGGAGAAGAAGACCTTCAGCTCTTCTATGAAGAAGAAGAAGACCTTCAGCTCTTCTATGAAGAAGAAGAAGACCTTCAGCTCTTCTATGAAGAAGAAGAAGACCTTCAGCTCTTCTATGAAGAGGAAGAAGACCTTCAGCTCTTCTATGAAGAATAAGAAGACCTTCAGCTCTTCTATGAAGAATAAGAAGACCTTCAGCTCTTCTATGAAGAAGAAGACCTTCAGCTCTTCTATGATGAAGTAGGCCTTCAACTCTTCTATGAAGAAGAAGACCTTCAGCTCTTCTATGATGAAGAAGACCTTCAGCTCTTCTATGAATAAGACCTTCAGCTCTTCTATGAAGAAGAAGACCTTCAGCTATTCTATGAAGAAGACCTTCAGCTATTCTATGAAGAAGAAGGCCTTCAGCTCTTCTATGAAGAAGAAGAAGGCCTTCAGCTCTTCTATGAAGAAGAAGAAGGCCTTCAGCTCTTCTATGAAGAAGAAGACCTTCAGCTCTTCTATGAAGAAGAAGACCTTCAGCTCTTCTATGATGAAGTAGGCCTTCAGCTCTTCTATGAAGAAGAAGACCTTCAGCTCTTCTATGATGAAGAAGACCTTCAGCTCTTCTATGAAGAAGAAGACCTTCAGCTCTTCTATGAAGAAGAAGAAGACCTTCAGCTCTTCTATGAAGAAGAAGAAGACCTTCAGCTCTTCTATGAAGAAGAAGAAGACCTTCAGCTCTTCTATGAAGAAGAAGAAGACCTTCAGCTCTTCTATGAAGAAGAAGACCTTCAGCTCTTCTATGAAGATGAAGAAGACATTCAGCTCTTCTATGAAGAAGAAGACCTTCAGCTCTTCTATGAAGAAGAAGAAGACCTTCAGCTCTTCTATGAAGAAGAAGAAGACCTTCAGCTCTTCTATGAAGAAGAAGAAGACCTTCAGCTCTTCTATGAAGAAGAAGACCTTCAGCTCTTCTATGAAGAAGAAGACCTTCAGCTCTTCTATGAAGAAGAAGACCTTCAGCTCTTCTATGAAGAAGAAGACCTTCAGCTCTTCTATGAAGAAGAAGACCTTCAGCTCTTCTATGAAGAAGAAGACCTTCAGCTCTTCTATGATGAAGAAGACCTTCAGCTCTTCTATGAAGAAGACCTTCAGCTCTTCTATGAAGAAGAAGACCTTCAGCTCTTCTATGAAGAAGAAGACCTTCAGCTCTTCTATGAAGAAGACCTTCAGCTCTTCTATGAAGAAGACGACCTTCAGCTCTTCTATGAAGAAGAAGACCCTCAGCTCTTCTATGAAGAAGAAGACCTTCAGCTCTTCTATGAAGAAGAAGACCTTCAGCTCTTCTATGAAGAAGAAGACCTTCAGCTCTTCTATGAAGAAGAAGACTTCTCTTCTATGAAGAAGAAGACCTTCAGCTCTTCTATGAAGAAAAAGAAGACCTTCAGCTCTTCTATGAAGAAGAAGACCTTCAGCTTTTCTATGAAGAAAAAGAAGATCTTCAGCTCTTCTATGAAGAAGACATTCAGCTCTTCTATGAAGAAGAAGACATTCAGATCTTCTATGAAGAAGAAGACA